GGGCTCGTCGCCTGATCTGACGCAGAGCGGGTCTCCCGAGAAGCTCTCCCGCTGCACTAAAAAAAGGGGGGGGCTTGGACTCAACACGAGGCGAACAGCCGCTTGGCCTACCCGCCTTGGGAGACCCCCCCCCCCCTCCACCCCCCCCCCCCCACAGGTGACCCTTGCCTAATCCAGATTCGTCCCTCCATGGGCCCCGATAAACGAGGACTTCTCTGCACTTTTTCTTTCTCTACGGCCCACCTTGACAGCAGGAAGGGGTGGGGGAAGGCAGGCAGGCAGGCATAGGGGAGGACGCCACAGGACCGACTGGAAAGGGCGGCAATTGGGGTCGTTTAGACTAGAGCAGCTTTCAGGTCACCCTTATTGGCCGCGGGGTTTTGCCGAGCCTTCAAGCCCCCGGCTTGTTTGATTCGGCCCCTGGCTCGCCAACTTCATCGGAATGCCAGTCTTCACAATCGCCCACCAAGCAATCTTACCAGGCCTGCCTGCCTTTGCTTTCCTCTTCACCCGCCCCCCCCTCGGTTTGAGAAGCCTTGTACCCGCTTCCACGCTCCCAATTAAACAGCAGCCGCCCGGGCATGTTCACTATAACTCGCCCAGCTCCTTCGGCCCGTCGGCAAGCACCAGCCTCCCTGCCTTCCTTCCCTCCTTATGCCGCAAGTCTTCTCCCCTTCACCTTCCACTCCATACTCTTTCCCCCCTCCCGCGAGTCAGGTAATTCCACTAACGTCGATCCGCTCTTCTAGCTTCCTTCCTTCGAACCGACGTTGCGGGCTTTCCATTCTCTCCTTCCCGCTTTCCAATCCCCACGTTATCGTCCTTCGGAAGCGCACTGCAGGATGGGAGTTCTCCGTAGCACCTTCGGCGCCACGTCCCTCCCCCTCTCCGCTCTCTTTCTCACCTCAAGTATGGCTCGAAAATGATCCAGGCTGATCGCAACACTCCCGCCGCCAGGCCAGCTCGCGCGCTCTCCCGGCGCTCGATAACGCCGGCGCCATTTGAGGCAACGAGGAGAGCGCGCGAGAACTGACAGGGAAATCTCCCTCCGCCCCTCCCCTTTCACGACGTTGCCGTAAAGTGACGGGCGCGTTCAGTTCGTGCGGCTGTCGCCTCGGTACGTCCGGGATGGCGGCACTCTCGAGGAGACGAGGGTTTCTATACAGCCTAGGCGGTTGCCCGTACTTAGTCTCGACCTGCTTCGGCTGCAGGTTTTTGTCGTCCTCAGTCTCCGGGGGGCCTTCGCAGGGCGAAGATCCGGAGAGGAAGAGCGCGCCCTCGCCTCCCAAGACAAAGGTAACGCGGAGGAAATAAGGGGCTAAGGTACCCAAGTGCCCTGTCAAAGTTTCGTAATTCCGTTTGTCTGGTTCCCAGCCAGCGTGACTTGAGTGCGGGAGGGCACCGGGTAACCATCTGCTGTCATAGAGTCGGTAGCTTGGTTCACATAGCCCAAGTTTTAACGATAATCTGGTTGCATTTGCGTGTTTTGTAAATCCAGCCAATTGTGATTTACTCATCAAGTCTTGGTAAGCAAATCAGAGAAATGAAGGAAGCTGCTTGGAGTTAGTGAAATGATGGTCTCTTATCCTGGACAAGGCTCTGTGCATAACGTGTGGGTTAAGGTATAATATTTCCCCTTTTCGGTTTTCTTTCTGTGACAGAAAAAGATCAGGTTGCCTCTCTTGTTGATGCGAGATTGTTTTTTCATTACACAAAAATGTTTTCTTCTGTTCAATGCACTTTTAACCACTTCGGCTGTCTTTAGTAATCTGTGCTCTCTGCTAACTGCCTAGATTACCATTTTGCACTGTGTGTAAAGCTGATTTTGAAAACAGTTTGGAAACGGTGATACCAAGTGAACTGTCTGGGATTAAATATTCACTTCATGGTCTGCATGACTTCAATTTAAGAAACTGATTTTAACTCCTGAATCTCTTCATATTTTGGAACTGCCTAAAGAAGAGTAGATATTTAGACTATCCTTCCCCACACTTTGCAAGAAATATATGGAGAACAACTACCCACTGTGGCATCAGTGGAATAGTGGTTATGCCATCATAATCTAAGTTCTGCCTTCCTTTCTATATGTGTTTATAAAGGGATGGGGCTTGGATCATCACATTAAGTCCTCCCTTCTGATACCCTTCTCCACCAGTGCCACTATCTCATCTGTAATGGTCCCTAGATCTGGAATGAGGGAAGCCTACTTTGTTAGCTTTTGAAGCTTTAACACAATCTCCAAAAACTAGAAATAAGAGTAACTGTATTGCTGTTCCATTTATCGCCAATAATATTTTGAGTTTTTTTGCCATGTTAGATTATAGTTAGTCTCAATTTTAAATTACAATTTCAGAATACTGTATTACAGTATCCAGAAAAAAATATTTTGAAGGGCAGCTTGTAAAATGATTTTAATATCCCCACAATTCTTTGTTAAAATTACAAACAATTGCTTTAGTTTATCTGTCCTCCATGAACTTTACGCCTTTGTAGTATTTTGTTTTGTAGTTTATTTTCTTTTTTTCCAATTGAGCTACTCCTTTATGAGGAGATTAGTTTTTCACTTGTTTTCTTGTTAAAAATAGGATCTGAAAATTACAGTGGGGATGTTCAGCAGTGCATGATATCATGGGTTTGGAACTGAACATTTGGGCCTTTGGGGAATTAAGGGCAAACTAGAGATACTAAGTCTTATGGAGACATCATAAACCACACCTGTTTTCTATCAGGGGAAAACAAATTGGGGATCTATGTATGAAATTTGGAAAATTGTATGTATTGTATTGATTGCCTGTCCCAATTGTCTCCTTTTCTATGTTTTAATATGATAGCATTCTTTTTTTTAAAATATTTGTTCTGATTATTTCATTTCATCACCACTATCCTATTTGATGTTTGCTAAACTACAAGATAGACATAAGATTGAATTTTGTCCAGTGTTAAATGTTATTCTTTAAAAAAAAATCTCACCTTTATAATTGTTTGTATAGCTTGCTTCTTTCATTTGGGAAATGTAATGTTGAAATAATTTGTGATGCTTTGTATTAACCCCTCCTCCCCTCTCTTTTAAGGTTTCACGTTTTTACCCGCCTTCAGATTCTTGCTGTGATTGGATTGGACCTCCTGATCAATATTCAAATCTTCGACCAGTAATATTTTATGTTCCTAAACATGAAACTCCATTGGAGCGAAGACTGAGAGAACTTAGGCAGGAAACCCAGGCTTGGAATCAAGAATTCTGGACAAATCAAAATTTATCATTTAGAAAGGTAGACATATAAAACCACCAGGTGGCACTAGGTGTCCTTTTAAGGCTTGCACAATATTTGTTTTAAAGGAATATTATTCAACTGTTCAATATACAATTCATTTTTATATTTGTGATATTTTAATTTATTTTTCATTTCTAAATTACTCCAATACCAATTATGAAGTCTTACTGTCATAAACTTAATTATTTGTTTACCCTAAGCTAGAGCCAGTGTATTTTTTTGTATTTTTATTGCTGTATAAATGTGTTAGTCTTAAGTAGGTCCTCTCTCAGTTTTAATAGTCATATCAAAATGAATAGATAGCTGCTGAATTTTTTTTACAGAATTGCATTTGCTGAAGATACATTAATCTCTGTTTTGAAGAGAATCTTATCCATCAGTTAAAATATTAGATGGAATGGATTTTGCAATGACTATTATGATTGATAATAGTCACTTATAAGATGATACCAATACACTAAGAACCAGTATATTATAATATTATTGAATCCTATTTCAGGAAAAAGAAGAATTTATTTGTTCTAGACTGAAAGCCAAGGGTATACAGCCAAGAGATGAAAAAGGTTAGATCATTAATTTTACGATTTGGCATACATTCTTAAATGATTTATATTATTTGTGGATTTCAAATCTAACCATTCATACACACACACACGCACACATTTAAATCTAACCACACACACACACACACACACACACACATATATATATATATATATATATATATATATATATATATATACACGCACATACGCACGCACACATTATGCTTCTTGAGAGTGAAGTTATAAGTTAGAGAACTTATGATATAGAGTAATATAACTAAAATTCAGTTACAGAGGAGCCTGAAAGAAGTCCATAACTTTTCATGAATTTGGAGTGAGTCTTAGTTATAAAAAAAAATATTTTTCTTCTCCGCTTAGTATTATTCATTTAACCCAGGCAACTCAACCCATGGCCATAGGCCCAGATGCATCCTGGACAGCTAGTAAGGCATACCCATAGATTGTAAACTCAGAGGGGGGGAGAGAAGAAAAAAAAAAGAGAGAGAGAGATTGATGTGGCCCAAGGTAATTCCTCTTTACTCAGTACAGCACAGGCAAGCCAAAATTTTGGATACCTACATTTAACCAGTTACTACTAATGCTACTGCTTGAATTTCATACAGCATTTTCATTTTACAGGATTCATACAGATCTTTAATGTGAAGAGAACATTCCTAAAATAATACAACTGTTCTGTGGAGGGTTGTTTGTATATAAAAGAGATCATAGGGAGCCATAAATCTATAAATTTGGATAACCTGCCTTCAATTTCAATTTGATATTAAACCTGTCATAATAAAGAACAAATAAATTAACCATTAAGGTTTTTTCCTGATCTATAAATTGTGGTTTCATTTCCTTTTCAGGTCAGAAAGCATCACTGACTATAGAGGAAATGGCTGAATTTTACAAAGATTTCCTAAGTAAAAACTTGGGAAAAAATGTATACTACAATAGGTGAGAGATACTTTTCAGGATAGTTTTCTTTCCTTATTTTTCAAATCAGTTCTATCCTTCACTTTCATTGATTTCTTTAAGACCAATTTGTTTAATAACATTTTTGGAATTGTTTCCAAAAAGCTGACTTTACCTGTTTCTCTCTTGCTATTCACCTACCAATCTGCATTGTATTTTCTATATTCTTAATATTTCTTCATTGACTGTTTCATCTAGTGCAGTAGGCTGCGCATCAGTCTCATACTCTACGTAACTGATAATAGCAGGCCTTGAGGCCTAGAACGTTCAGTTGTATTCACTGAAATATGCAGATAAGTGGGGATATGAAATAAAATAAATAACACTGAAATCATGCAGATTTTGCATACATCCACAGATAGTACAGAGTAGGGTATTTTTCTAGAAAGGTACTTTCAACAGCACGTTGTTAGGGTTCATTTTAATTATGCAAAGACAGAAGTTTTTCCCCCTAAATATTTATCTTCTAAGGATGACTGGTTTTGCTATGTTCCTTTGCTTCTCAAATGTAGGGAATGGTACAAACGGAATTTTGCTATCACATTCCTCATGGGACAAGTAGCGTTTGAAAAAGCGTGGAAGAAATTTGGACTGAAATGAAATACAAACTAACAGCAACTTTGGGTAAATTTGATTCTTAAGTTGCAGCTTTGACATTTAAAAATACAAAACTAAAAAATTATGTTTCAGAGTGCTGCATACAGAGTTATCAACTACAATTTACATTTATGTCATTATACTAATTTAAAGCTAACAAGTTCTTTAAAAAAATCACCCCAGTGGTTAAGTAGCAGCTTCTGCCCTTTTGTAGAACATTCCTCTTTTGGGGGAAGTTTAGATTAAGTATATTGCCAATTTCACTTATAGCTTACTGAAAATAGAATAACACAATTTTGAAAGAAATATTAATTTTCTCTTTTGATAAAATCCAGTTGTGTTTCTTTTATTACTTTAGTGGCTCTGTGTATTAAGCTTGTTACATAGTAAGCATGCCCAAATATTAATTATAGACTAATTATAGTCTAATTTTTCTCTTCTCTCTCTTTTTAGTTTTTTCAACCAAAGATGAGACGAAGAATTGAGTTTCTCTTCTAAATTATATCAAAGCATTCTGGTATATTTGTATATAGGTGCTTATTTTTATTTATTTATTTATTTTGTTCATTTATATATCAGATGCTTCTGGCTGACAGCAATGGTTAAGAAACAGTATTAATATATAATGGAAAACTATAAAATAAATAATAATTATAATAGAACTGTCTAAAACAAATGATTAAACCCCAGAAATTGCAGTATCAGAACAATAAATCAAAAGATGATTAAAGAATACAATAAAAGGAAGAGGATACCCAGTCCAACAAGTTAGGTTCATGCCCAGTGCCTTGTCAAAACAGTGAGGGGAGAATGGCATTGAACTTAGTAAACATACATTACACTTTAGTCATATAGTGTAATTTAAATGTTCCTTTTCCTTCCACTGGAGTTGCTCTTAGTCTGTCTAAATATAAAAATGATTAACATTGCATACAAGAACACTGCATATGTCAGGAACTTGATACTCATAGAGTAAAATAAATTAATACTTAGTCATGGTGAGTCTTTTGTTATAAAAGACTGGTAATTTATTAATACTGTTTCAACTATAAATAATTCAAATAATATTTTTCTATGGAACTGTAATTACCACTCATGAAGATGCCAGCATTATACTGTAATGCATGAAGATGATACTGTACTTGTGTCATTTACATCATTATCTCTGAAAAGTTTATAATTTAGGAATGGTTCTCCTAATAAAGACTTTTGTTGCTGGGTATGAATTGCTTTGTCCTGCATTGCATTATTTAAAAATTTGTGACCAAATGTATAGAACATCTTGCTAAATGGCTGAAAATTGTATGTTAACAACACATGCTATGATGTGGCATGGGAACATCTGAGAAGGATAGGTCCAAGGACCAGAGAAGTAGAAATGCCAAATCTGCCCAACAAGACACATCAAATGCCATTCTGAAACCTGTTTGGGCTTTTTCCGAGATAAAAGAAATTATCTGGCTGCATATGAAACACTTAAGACATATTGGACCTGCAGCATGGATCCCAGGAAAATATAAAGAGGACTGGATTGATCCAGATAATCCAGCACGATCCAGATCTCTGCTTTACTAACAGTGTCCAATCCTTTCATCTTTTTTACACATCATTAATTGCTAAATGACTGAAATATTTTAAGATGAGTTTGGAATTAATGCTTCATTTAATTAAATACAAACATGTCTCCATTTTGATGTATTCATTTTTTAAAATCTCATATTCAGTATTCATTCTAGAAGAAATCATCTGTGTCTGTCAATCTATTCTTACATAAATATTACCTTTATTTATTGATTTGCACATCCGATGCCTCTTTAATAGATGTATGATAGATTGCATTAGTTTAATGGAAAAGCAGCAACTATTCCACAACTCAAAATATATACCATATGGCATGTCATATAATGATTTGCTCATGGCATTATTCTGAAAAGTGGCTCATTGTGATCGACTTCTGCCTGAATAGAAAGGTTCCTGGTGGATTTTGCATAGAGCAGTACTTCTAATGGATTCAGATTGTGCGTTCCTTCCACACATGGAAAGATTGCTTTTATTACAGGCACATTTCCTTCAGTAAAGGAAACATAAGCAGGTGAAAGCAACTTTTATTATCCATTCCATCCCCTGCAGCCATTAGTATTCTAATAATAGGTCTGGCCAATTTCATCTCCCTGTAGGGCAGATCTTTAGAGGATGCTAGTAGCTCCAGATGAAAAGGGATTGGTATACACAATGTATATGCACAAACCCACACCAAAGGCAATTATAATGGCCACCAAAAAAAAGCCAGTGCTGTGCATAGCAATCTTTTTCTTAGACAAGAGTTACAGGACTGCATGTAAACTTAAGTTTCAGAAATTCTTCACTGGCAAGCTTTTTTTTAAAAAAGGCTTCATTTGCTTTTTGTCCCATTATTCTCCCCACCCCCTTAAAAAAACAATAAATTGCCTAGATGAAGAATTCTTCAACTCCTGAATCTTGCATTCTTTTGTAACCCTGAGGTAAAGGTAATTCTGATCCAGCAGTTTCTGCATTATAATTACTGATATATATTCAGAATACTGTATGGATTTTTCAGAATTTGCTGCTGTAACGTCCAAATCAAATAAGGGAAATATCAATGACATTGGCTTTCCATAGAAACAAAAATAAATGTTTGATTTTTAGCTGAAGTTAAATGTTTTTTAATGTCTAGTATTTTTCAGTAAGATTGTGAATTCTATGATGAAACATCTTGTTTGTAAATTCTACATGGTGTTTAATCTGATGGGAAATGGTGATTTCATTCCAAGCATGTCCTTTATTTCCTGCTATTCATTGGATCTCTTCATTGAAGTATTCATTTCACTAGAATAAGAGGAGGATGAGAGAGAAGGAAGAGGCTGATTAAGGCTAAACTAAAAGCTCTTATGAATGTCTCTGTGTGATTGCATTGCTATTACAGAATGTGTGTTTATAAACCAGAGTATTTTTAATTATGCAAAAGAAGAGTGCTTTCATGGTGTATCATTGTCAGTTCTTAGTATTTCCATTTTTATATTACCAGCATCCTCACTCCTAATTTCGAATCCACTGGTTGTCTCATTTCCAAATAAAAAAGAGGATCTGAAAAGGATTGTGATTATTCTGCACTCCTTTCTCCCAATTTCCTGCTAATGTGAGACAACACAGATACCATGTGATTTCAGATATCACTTTGTTGAATCTGGAGTCCCAGTAGAAGATTGCTCTATGAATCCAATTGGATCTGATAGGGAAACTATAATCTGCATTATTATAATTATAGTCTGATCCAAAGAGTATATAATTCTTTTACCTGTCCACAAATACAGTGTGCACCAAATGCTATTGTTTATTTTTGATTGAGTACTGTTCTGAAAAAGCATAATTGTGAGATGACCATTGTGTACATCAATGATTTTCAAAACTGGCAACTTTTATGGGTGTGGTTAGTGTGGAAAGTCTAGAGCAGGGGTCCCCAACCACCGGGCCGCGGACCGGTACCGGTCCGTGGAACATTTCCTACAGGACCGCCAGTTTGCTGGGCGCCGCCATCTTGTTTGACGAGAAAGTGCTTCCGGGTGAGCTTTTCCGGTTGGAAAGCGGTGTTTGGGTCCTGAAGGAATCCTCGCACCTTAGTTTCATCGAAGGGGGGGGGGGGCTTCGAACGAAACTAAGGCGCGAGGATTCTTTCAGCACCCAAGGCAAGGCGAGCCGAGCGACCGTCCCGAAGCCGTCCCGAAGCGAAGCCCATCGACAAAGGTACAAAGGAGGAGTTGAAGGTGGCGGGGAGAAGCGGGGGATGGATGGCTGGCTGGCCGGTCGCTCGGCTCGCCTTGCCTTGTCATGTGTGCTGATGCCGGTACCGGGCCGCGGATCATTTTGTGATGCCGGTACCGGGCCGTGGCACAAAAAAGGTTGGGGGCCACTGGTCTAGAGGACTTTATCTCCTAGAATTAGCCAGGCAGCCCTGGTGGCTGAGGAATTCTGGGAATTGAGGTCCACACATTTTAAAGTTGCTGTGCCAAGTTTCAGAAACACTTACAGATGCTGCTGTCTAGTGCATGAAATCTTATTAGTGGAATCTTGTTTTAGGGTGTGCGTTTTAGACTACATATCAGATATTAGCATAGTGAAATTTCTAGAGTGAAAATAATTTGAGTATAGAAGGGTCATAGTGTTGCATCAAAATAAGTAAAATCAAATTTAAAGACTAACATATTTTTACAGCATAAGCTTTTCCAAATTATATCCTCTATGGATTCTACTAACAAGCATTGTTCCAATTTGTTAATTTTTTAACATTCAAATATTGCTTAATCAAGAAATTACTCTGCCCTTTAAGTAACCCTGATCGAAAGGAAGATTAGATACAGTCTCTATCTTGTTATTAAGCCCAATTCCTCATTATACGAATCATCTTTGCTAATAAATGTCTACATTTGATAAACTTGTAAATGTGCATCTGTATGCAGGTAAATATGTACTTTTATATACTAGCCAGAGATCACAATTCCCAGAAAGGATAGGCAAATAAAAAAAGTGTAATAAAATTTATTGTCTGCAAACAGGGCATGGGTTGTAAAGCTAATTGATTCCCAGATGTGATTAAAAGATATTTCCTCACACAACATATACACAAATAGACAACTTCACTGTATAACGATGAAGCTCAGCAAGCATAAATCCATGCTTACTCATTAGTAAGTTCCAATGAATTCACTAACTCTCATTCTCTTCACCACAAACCACTTGGTTTGTAATGTTTCTTTAAGCCAAAGGTGTGTATGGGGTGTTGCACTCTAAAAAAACAGCACTCAATACCAACTATGCATATGTAATCTTTATAGCATAATATCTGTATTGTTTTAAAAGAATGCCTGGAAACTTTTCTCTCTATGCTCAGTTGGTCTAAATACAAAGAGGTCCTTGAGTCAAACTTGACTTCTTGTGGATACATGGGGACTATTACACAATTTTATTGGAAAAAGTACAGAAAATATTTTGTTACAACCTTCATCCAGGGTTTTTCCAAATTAGTATTCACACTAGTTATATAGCCACTAGCCAATAACAATGTTTGGCCTATCTTTATTGAATTTTCTGAAAAATACTTCATTATACTAATACATTAAATAAAATATATCAAATTCTAGCAGTCATTTCCTGAACCCAATGTTTTTCTTGGACAACCTAGTCCTAGAAACACAAATAATTTGAGTCGGTATTTCTTTCATGTTTTGGGGGCCAAGTTAATTATTTTCTTTTTTTAGCCGGAGTTTTGGCTACGTGTATGATTGAAAGCATAACCCAAATTCCTTCATATTTTGCTGTGACAACTTATTTCCCTGCCCTCTCCCCGAATTGATTAGTTTGTTGAATCATTCATAAGAAGTGTTGTATTCTTGAATTTCATTATCTGCATTCACAACTAAATGTAAGCAAATGTAAGCTAAATGTATTTCTGTAATGAACAGAAATAACAAAGACCTGGACAAGTCAACAACAAACAAGGAGAATACTCTGTGTGTGTGCGTCTGTGCACACATGAGTAATATAGTATAGTGGAAAAACTAATTCATAAACTTCCCTGAAAAGAGTATCAACCACTTAATGTTAGGCTTGCTTTGTACATGGGAAGATTTTGAAGGCTTTGCCTTTTACACCAGAAGATGAGGCTGAATCATATCTTGTAGATGGATTCTGGGTGCATCATTCTGCTTCATTTTTCTATCTGCTGTATAACATTACACAGATTACACAGGTGACCTTAATGTTTCTCAGTAGCAAACTTTTGAGTACCCAGACTAGCAACATAGACGTTAAAAAGACAAAAAGAAATGGGCAGGTGGGCTTGAAGGGACTATACTCTGAATGTACACTACAATTTAAGTGTAATATTAATCTTTTACAGTTGAATTTAGGAGGTAAAGAGGAAGGAACATTTGAAAATCAGCTTTTAATAGCTCAAAAATAAGCCTATTTAATAGAGGAATCTCTAGCAAAATATGCTAGCATCCCAGAGGATAAGCTTTTATTTACTTTTCCTACACTTAAGGAGTCAGCCAGATATCCTTGCAGATAGCTGACAAGCCTGTAAAAAGTAGCTGAAAATATAGTAAGTGTAGTATGAGGATATTTGGAGTTCTATGTAGATACTAACATGGTTCACACATTTAGAGTCCATTTTTCTTCCTAGAAATTTTGTTCCAGAAGTCTGATTGTTGATTTAGTAGAATAAATGATTATCTGCTTAGTATGTCCATTATTAACTTCTGTTTTTTGATCCACACACATATTGTCCAAGCTCTCTAAAATTAAAAAAAATTGGACTTTTATTCTTTATTTTTTCCATTTAACCAAAGGTAAGATAGTGCAATTTAGTGTGGATGTTTGTGCTTCTTTGGTATAGTTCCAACCTTTTATTTTTAAAATAATCTCAAGTTACCTTCCAAGGCAACTGTGAAATATTCCCTAATGACTTCCAGAGAGCTTGTAAGTTATAATGCCACCACTTTGGTTGGTAAGCAGGTGTTATCTAAAGACAACAAATCATTTAATAAAAAAGTAGATGCAGGGCAAGCAATTGGAAAAATATGTAAAACAACTAGCATTTTAGAAACATAATTTAAAAGGACAATGAGGTGAATTTCCATGATAGAAAAAGTATATATAAACTTTTGGATATATAAATAAAATTTATGTATTGTATATACAAATTATATACAACCAAAAGTTAGGTCCCATAAGCCAATAATAATTTTTTCCCAGAGAAATATTACTGTAAGTGTTTACAGGTAGTGCTCAACTTACAACCATGTTTTCAGCCACCAAAATTACAACGGTGAAGATTCCGGAAACAACAGCAAGGATTTGTTCACTCCTGAAAAGTTTCAGCAAGCATTTTCACCCAGCTGCTTTCTCTCCCAGTTACCTGCACCAACCTTTTGCTGTTTCCTTTTTGGATCCAGCTTTTCTGGCAAACATTTTGTAGTTTGCTACTTCTTTTCTTTCTTTCTGAAGACAGCGCTGTCTCCAAAAACAGGTAAGGAAAATAAAAAAATGGGAATGCTTCTATCCTCCAGCACATGGACTGTATTGATCTGCTAGTGTCATGGTTTTAAATATTTAATATAATGGTTATTAAGTAAAATGAATGTTTTTATTATTTGTAAACACATAGAAACATTTCTAGATTAATATTTATTTTTAAACACACTGTACACTTTCCCTACATTTTATTTGATATAAAATGCTTCATTTTGTTGCAAGAGTGTAATTTGAAAAAAAGTAGTCTGCCAGGATAAAATAACTTCAGAATAATTTGGAAATTTGAGAGCTAAAATGAGGAAAATAATGAACTAGGAGTCCTGGGATCTCAGATATTACAAATATTTTCTAGATGGTAGTGTTGTTGGCAACATAACAGTGAAGAACTTTGCAACACCATAAAGATTAAGAAATTCATTATTCCTGAAATTTTTGTGGATCATATTTCATTTAAATAGGCATGTACAGTGGTTTAAGATCTGAGAAATATTCTCATAAGGGAATGGTGAAGAACTGAAAAATACTGTCAAGATAGTATCAGCATAAACATTCTTCTTTTTCATTTAGTCATACATCCGACTCAATATATTAACCGACTCAATATAAAAATGTTATCACACCTAACGACTGCTTTGAAGTTATTTTTCCTCATTCTATTGCCCCTTTCACCATTTTCTTCTCTTCCCCTTTGAAAATAGCAGATACATCCCCTCCCTCCCCCCACCCCATACACACATTGTTTCTTGGGGCTATACAGTACTTTTCATTATTTGATACAGTGGATTGAGATCCAGAAATGAGTGATCTAAATTTATGAAATTATAAATACGTGTCCTGTGGATGTGGAACATCTTACCCCCTAAAGTCAAATTGGCTTCCATCCTTCCGCAGGAGCCTGAAGACCTGGCTCTGCCAGATGGCTTGGGACCCTGTGGAGGGGCGGGGATCACATTGGAAGTGGTTGTTGACTTAAGAGGCAATCCCACTTCCCCCCTATCCCCGAGCATCCCGTTTGATCATTGTCATTCACGAAATGATGGCACCACCATCTCCTAGAGTCGCATCACAACGCAAACCACCGAGAATTACAAAATATCGATCGGTCAACAATTCAACCGCGGCTTCGTCTCCCCGCCCGCAGCGTGGCGCATGCGCGTTTGTGGGAAAGCCTTCGCGTATTCCTCCCTCGCGCTCCTTTAACTTTTCCAGCCCTCCGTCCGCCCTTGCATCCCTGCTTCTCGGAACCAGTGACATCATGGCTCTGGGCACGCGCAGAATTGTGGGCCGGGAGGGAACCGCCATTTTCGGAGAGGAGAGGGGTGGGGCTAAGGCCGGTCAGTCAGGCTTTGGGAAGCCGGGAAGAAATTGTCTCCCGGCCGTGAGAAAAACGGGAGGTAATAGTGGGGGCAACGGCGGTGCTGGGGTCGCCCCCGTCCTGTGATTGACAGCCCGGACTTTCCACCCGGGCGGTGAAGTCAGAGCAGGGGTGAGTATCGGCATGGGTCCCCCGCCGCCTTCCTTAGCATCCTTTCCCCTTTCTTCGCCACCAAGGGAACCCGGCGGCCTGCCGCCCATCAAAAAATGCTGATCGCTCTTAAGGACTAAGCGGCCAAGGCGGTGGCAGCTGCGGACGCCAGCAGTAGGAAGAGCTCCGAGTGTGTGAGCGCGCGTGTAAGAATTGGGAGTAGATGAGAAGGAACTAAAGTGTGGTGCTCACCAGCGGCAGCATCGAGAAGCGGGTCCTGTGGGGGGAGTGGATAGGTTCCTGGGTGGGCGATGGAAGAAGGGATGTCACACTGGGGCGTGTTGAGCGGAGCATCTGAGAAGATGAAGACCCAAAGGCGCTTTTTTTTTCCAGGAGGCAATTGGACTTCCTTGAGGTTTCTTTTCTTTTCTTTGAAGACCTCTCATCCAAGAAGCTTCTTCAGCTCTGACAGGATAGTGGGGAATGGAAGGATTTATATTCCTTGCAAACAGCTGGTCATTTTTAGAGGGTCGTTTGAAGCATTTGGAGGTTTATCTGTGTCCTCAGGGTCATCTGAGTAGTGCTCCTGGTTCCTGTAATCTGCAATTTTTTTTCCTCTGGAAATCAAAGAAAAAAACAAAGTCCAGTTGCCTCCTGAAAAAAAAGCACATTGGGGACAGCCATGACCTGGATGACTGAGAATCTCTATAGAGGAGAAGATGATGAAAAATCAGATCTGGAAAAGGAATCGAAGATTCCCAGACACAGAGGACATAGGAAGCTGATAGCAATTCTATGTGTAGAGTGTCTTTCATTGCCAATTTGTCATTCTAGAAGAAAAGGCTGATTTAGGTGTCTCTAAGTGCTGGACTAATCTCTGAGGACAACAGCCATCCTTATTCTGCTGGTGATGTTGCTCTTCCAAATGAAAAAAAAAAGAAAGCTAATTGAGGAAGGGAGATTGAAGAGGAAGGAACTAGTTGTTAGTTGGGCAAGTGTTTCTTTGACACCTCCCCTTCCCCCCACTTGTGCTTACTGTCCTTCCCCTGCTTTTGACAATTTTATGTTGCAATTTGGGGCCTGACAACATCCAGGAATGGGGACATCTAGTCAAATAAAGAATGGTCCTTTGGATATTCGGATATGTATAGTTATGGACTGTTTTTCTTCTGCATTAAAAAAAATCCTTTCAGGTTGGTTTTACATTTTTTAAAGTTATTAAAAGCTTGCGTCTATTAGTCACAACTTCACATAACATAGATTCGTATGTAGATTTTTAATGTATATCATTATTGATATCATGCTATGAAAACATTGTTTTCTTGGCATATTTTTATTGGATAATTATTATTTTTTAACATTCTATACTTTACCTTTTTTTTCTTCAATAGATGGATATTTCTGGGGTTTGTGTGTTTGTTTGCTTTTTCCTGAAATGAGATCAGAAAAATTGTAGTTCTGTTTTCCATTTTTCTGTGTTTTGAGTTTGTAGGCAGAGCCATCAGGTTTTTTTTTTTTCCAAAAGGCTTTTTATGGCTAGAAGATTTTGGATGGGAAAAATGTAATAGCAAAGCTTATTATCTGTATGCAGTATGATGGATAATCTTGATAGGATTTCAGCTTATTTAATAATTTATAGAGCTAAATTTTTAATAGCTAAAACAAAGCTGCACCTTTTGCTTTAGGCTACTGATATATGAGTTTTAAAGAACTGTCTGGAAATATTTATTCCCTTTTGCAATATGGTTTGGGTGGAGAAATTTAATGAAATTTAGGAAGGCTGTAGTGTAAGTCAAACTCAACTGCCTGATACCAACATAAAGCAAAAATTAAACTCAAAATTCCAATCTTGTATTCGCTTACCTGTGAGTAAACCATGTTGAATTTGGTGGTTAATATGTCTTAAGTAGGCATTTATACAAATAAGTTGTAAATGGAATTATGTTTTTCTGAACTAATTTTGAAACTGTATATTAAATAAATAGTACAAGTATAAATGTTTTCTGAATAAATTTAAATAATGCAATATTATAGAAAATATCTTTTTCTAAAAATTGCCAACACAAGTCTGATAACAATTAAAAACTAAATTATGAGTCTTAGAATGAAAAAAGAATCATGAACAGTAAAGGTCAAACAGTTTAATTAGGCAAAGTCTTAATGTGTTATACACCAGTAACTGTATTGTAGCAAGGAAATTGCTGACCAGGAAAAATATCATGAGATGATATCAGGCTTGAAGCTAGGAATACTGTGGTCCTAATGCATACCAATTTAGCAAAGTTTATATGCCAAAATTTAATGCAATCAATTTTAGGAAGTCAGGATTGAATAACATTTCTATATTATATTGCAGTAATCTATCTTCCATGCGCCTGATAATAGGATTTATATATAGAATTAATATGACATTTTTGAAATTGCTAAATGGAGGTTGCATATGAAAGCATTAAAATAAAAAAGATCAACTGTAAAATATTAATATAACAATCATATCGTATTTGTGTTTTTTTTTAAACGGAAATGAAATGAAATATGGTTTAGAATAAGAAAGCTAAGAAAAACTAGGTCATTAGTTTTTCTAATGTTTGCAATGTCAAATTAAACCTTTAAGTATGCAACAAGAAGATGGAACATATCTAACATTTTTTAAATGAAGATATTTATAAAATGAAGATCAGCATATAATATATAGTTGTATGTATAGTAGAAGCTTTTTAAAAAATTGTTGATTTCATTTTCTGCTTAAGGAGTTCCCCAAAAGGATCTAACCAAATTTGTGCCTACTTCTCTTTCCTTTTGTTTCTTATTTTATCTGTTTATTTCTCTTACTTCCCTCAGTGCCCTTGGGATGTTAGATTGTACCCTGTAATGCAGTGTCTGGCTTCTTATTGTAGGCTGAATTCCCTTTGGACATGTGGATTAGCGCAGCTACTCTTCTGGCTCCATTTCTTTGATCTGCTTCAAAGCCATGCTTTGATAGCTGCATTTTAATTTTAAATCTCAGAATACACAATGTGACAACATGGTTCCTATATATTTCAGGATTATTTTAATGACCAGAATGAGTAATTCAGCACATAAGGCAATAGGAATCAAAACTATCTGAAAGAGCTGTTTCAATTCCTCTCTTGAAGGGAGGAGAAAGGAAAATTGATCTTCAATTTTTAGAACTTATATAAAGTAAAATCTTTTTGCTTTAGATTGTTCTTAAGAGGATGAAGTGTTTATAAGCTTGATAATATGTAGAGGAACTTGAGTAATGAAATATTTTAGAAAAATTGTTACCAGTTTCTTTTCCATGTTTGATTACTGATGTGGAAATAAATGTTGATCATAGAAAATGTGGATTTGTTTTAGCTGCTTTTTAAAAACAACCTTAAAAAATGTTGCACAGCCAGTGATTCATTGGGAAATAATTTTTCCCCTTTCACTATTTTCAAATTATGTAATAAACATTCTAGTCTTTCTTGGAAAATACTGTAAGCTTGTATTATTGTAAGTAATATAAATAAGCTGTTTTAATTTAAAAGCTGGAAAAATTATAACTAGACAAAAATTGCAGCTAATGTATTGTAAAGGTTAGGATTGTGACATTTAAAGCTACTTTGTAAACAGCTTCTTTTCAGCCTGATAATATTTTTGTAATATTTAATACTGGCTACATAGATAATCCTAGACTTATGACCACAATTGCACCCAAAATTTATATTGTTCAATGAGACATTTGTTAAGTGAATTTCACCTCATTTTATGACCTTTCTTGCCACTGTTGTTAAGTGAATCACTGCATTTAAGTTAATCACATGGTTATTAAGTGAATTTGGCTTCCCCATTGACTTTGCTTATCAGAAGGTTGCAAAAGGTGATCACAGGACCGCAGAATCCTGCAACTGTCATAAATATGAGTCAGTTGCCAACTGTCTGAATTTTGATCATGTGACTATGGGGATGCTGCAACGGTCATAAGTATGAAAAATAGTCATAAGTCAGTTTTTCAGTGCTGTTGTAATTTTGAACGGCCATTAAACAAACTATTGTAGGTCAAGGACTTTACAAGGCTGAATTTATTTAAGAAAATTTATATGGCTTCCCAACTCACTTTCACTGTATACAGCTTACAAGAATAAAAACTCAATATAAAAAAACAATAAAAAAGCAATAATTCCCAGCCCCTCTGATGACAACAGTCAAATAAGCCATTTGATGAGCTCCATTCCACTCTGGGGTCCCCAGGCACATTGGAAAACCAGGTCTTCAGGGCCTTTCAAGAGTGTTAAAGTGAGGACCAATCTTAGCTTGGTGGGGATGATGGTCCACAGTGAGGGAGCCACCATGGAGAAGGCCTTCTTTTATGAATGCTTCTGATATACTTTAAATGCATTAAATACATAAAAAAAAATCCATTACATGTTGCCAATTGCAATATTATATATTTGTGATAGACTTCATCTCATGTATTTGAAAGTAATCTATCTCTTAAATTGCATTGTTTTACATCTAATCAGGTTTGTTGCTTGACAGATTTGTTTTTGGTTGTGTATAGCTGTGTGATTTAGAATAATTTCATCAGATTCTACAGGGAGACAGTATTATTGATCTTGCATTTTTAGGAGGTTTTGGGAGACGAGATGAGGAGGCATTACTTTTTAGTAACAATGCCAACCCTACCAAGCAGCCTCTCAGAAGAGATCAGATTAACTCTCAAGATTCTATTAAAGATGAAGTTGTTTAGAAGCTTCTAAAGCTGGAATTGTTTCCAAGAGCCTTTCTTTGATTTTACCATGCATCTTGCACATTTATTTTATTATTTGTGTTTTTATAATTGGTGTTTTTGGTCTTTTTTATGGAAGCTTGCAGCATATATGTTTTATTCGTTTTTGTATAAACTGCTCATAATTTTTTGATTGTGATGGATTAGAAGTTAAAAAAAAACTTTTTTCATAGAAATGGAAGATTGTATGAAGCTATATTATCTTGTTTGATAAACTTTCAGAGTAGTCTTCTTGGAAACATTTGGT